CGTGGTAGTGCGCAGGCTTTGAAGTGCCCTGCAATGCAAACGCCAACACAATTACCACCACCGCTGACGAGTCTGCAAGCCTCAACAAGTGGCGACACAATGCTCACCTGAATGCCCTCCTGCGAACAGAGGTAGAAATCAAATTCACGATGATGTGTGATTTCTGTGTCAACCACTGTGCCCGGTGAAACATTCCTCCTAAACAAAGACACATGAGGCCTTAAGGATAGGCATTACAGCCTCAAAACTACCCCCACCCACCCATCCACTTTATGCAACCCTCACTTTACATGCACGCAAAGCAGAAGCACCTCACCCCTCTTCCACTGGATTCAATCGTATGTGGTGACGCTTTTGCACCACAATAAATGTTATTCGCGGTTCGTAGTCGGGTCTAAGGTTTGAACAAGCTCTCTGCATAGCCGAGAGTTCAATTTGCAGCACAGAATCGAATTGTCCCTCGGAAACACCGTCTCGGTAGAGAATGACCCTCGTGGGAAGGCGATCGTTATTGTGCTTTCCAAATATCTACAAGTGACGGCAGTGAGTGAAGGCGACGATAAAACAATCCACCTAACTTTACCCAACCCCTCCACCTTCTCCTGCCCTCCTATGTGTCATTATTTAACACAATTTAAACACAAATCATCAAAACAATGAACGTCAACATACCGTCAGGAGGTCGGAGAAAATACTCTCCATTTCATCGATGTATTCTCGAACGCTGTTGTTTTGCTTTACTTGATTCTGTTGATGAACAATTGCCACATAGCGCATAAGATCAGGTGAAATTGAGGCAACAACTGCGGCGACTGATTTCTCCAAACCGTGAGTGACATCCGCACCCACAACCATCACCAATTCCTCTCCCCATTGTTTGTGCAAATCATTTACCAGCCAATTAATACCGCCCATCTTTGCGTTTATCTTCAGCATCAAATTGTCTGTAAGCAAGACACCGTGTTATTAGTCGATGTGGTGCAACAAACAAAAGCACTAACCACAAACGTCACCTCCTCCTATGAACAGAAGTAGTGCACTCTCAGACTGTCAACCATCCACTCCCTCTCATACCTTACATGCATGCATCCCAACACCCACCGACCACGCATGATAGATGAATGAGACGGTGTCAAAGGCTACACTTCACCCAATCCCCACATCACACAATTATGAACGACGGTAATGTGACAGCAACATGCAAACATGCATGCATAACAACAAATCGCCTTGCAACTTACTGAAAACGTTTGGTTTTCTTAAGGTTTTCTCCCTTATACACTGCGTGAACATAAAACTGTGCAAATCGCCTTCACGTTTGATGTGTGCATAGTGATCGTCTCTGGATAAAACGAAAATTGCCAGATTTATTCCCTAAAAAGTGGCGTATACAATTGTGACAATCGTAATTACGTGCTGTAGTCAAAGGAACAAGCCTAAAGCACTCACATTCATGCGGAATTCTTCAAACAATCGTGGCAGATCAGAAATAGTCTTTCGAAGAATGCGTTGCTGCACCTCAACTCGAACACCAAAATTCTGTGCTGCCCGCGGTAGATTGTGGATGACGACGGAAGCATCTTTGACCTACACAGAAGTAATGAAACAGCTCAATTGCAATTGACAGAAGCACGAAGAAGTTTACGCCTGCCTCTCCAAAGCACCATGCCGAAGTCGATTGACAGACAGTGGTGGTGCATCAACTGTACAAGGTGGTGTCAAGCCTCACCCAACTCGCTGCAATAAGCGAAAGAGAAATGAACTTACAACACCAGGAGCAATGGTGACAACCACGCATTTCACAACTTCGGAGCAGAGTTTGTAGAATGACTCCTGTCTCCACTTTCCCCTAGTCAACAGGCCCGTTTTGTTTGAAAAGCTTGCACTTGGCTGTGGCAGTTCTCTCGCCTCAACTTTAATCGGTTCAAAATTCAGCAAGCGCAATTGCATTTTCGAGAGCAAATTGTTTCTCCTACCAAACAAAGCAGTCAGAACTGTCAAAACGCATTGCAATGACACCATCAGGTGATTGACGAACGACTCGGTGCCTTTCGACAAAACAAAACTAAAACCCACCAATTCATTTCTTGGACGAAATTTCGCAACATCTTAAATCGCTCCATCGGTCTGACGGCAGTGCAGGAAATAGTCGAGGCAGTTTGCTTCTTTACATCTTGGAATGGTAAAACATTCAACACCTCCATAGGCATGCATCCCTTTCCGTCTTTTAGCATCTAAAACGTTCACATCAAAGTCGAGACAACTGCACTTTCATGCATTCCACTTCCGCAGCATCAACAACACCAACAAGCAAGGCCACTTAAGACAATCACATTCACATGCCATCCTCGTTGTGATGGCTGCTGCCAAAGGTGCATTAGCTTTGACAAATCGTGAAACATGTGTAACGCAAAGCTGCCCACTTGACAGTGACAGCCAGCACACCATGACACTCATTGCTCAAAAATGTAGGCAAAAGATGGAGAAAAAAAACAAAAAAAACTTACCACACATGGAAGGCTTGGATACTTCAAGCTTATGCTGTAGTTGTCCTTGAAATACTGTGCAACCGTTTTTTTGAGATTCGGAATAATTTCTCGATCTGCAGAATTATTTGTTAAGCTATCCGCCACAAAACGCCTCTTGTACGGTTTGCCTAAAGCATTAACAACATTCAACATTACAATCCTTGCCACTGTCAATATAAAAAGGGCATTGGAAAGTGTCATCAGCATCGAGGTGAGACAAAATGCATCGAGGCACAGGTGGATGCTGCAAAGGTGACGTCAAACATTGCCAAATGCAGAGGGACAACTACCTTGATTCACATAATGAGTGGCCTCCACTTGCAGGAAATTTATTGCCTCGTTGACCTGCTTCCGCACTGCTGGATTGCCCACAAAATCGCCATGCATTGCACGCAAAGTCTCCGCCAAATTGCCAGCAGGGAAACACACCTTGTGGACCTACACAATTAGTAGAGAGTTGATAGTCGCATATCGCAATCCTCACACCCACTGTCCACCAATCCCCCACTCACCACATCCACATTCAATCGACACTTCCACTGTGGTCGAAAACTCAGCGAATATCCCAGATAAATCCAGGCGAGGTCGTCACTCTTGCATAGTTTTGGAGTTGTATCAAAAATGGCCGACTTTGAAAAGTTCGAATAGGCTTCTCTATTGGCCCACTTGATTAGGTTATCCAGCATGTTGATGGCCTGTTGTGGCAGTTCTGAGGTCTTTGATTTACCATTTGCGATATAGTCAGTGATGAGTTGGGCAGAAACACTGCCAACTCTTGTTGCAGTGTATTCTATCGTCAAGTTGGTGGTGTTGTCATAAGAGTCTGGAATCGCCTCACGATACGTCAAAACCTTCTCCTTTCTCTTATCCAAAGGTCCAAGGGAGAAAAGAATTCGGCCGCCATCGTGAAAGACATCCCCACCTTTCCTGAAGGTAGCATTATTCCATTTCACTTTGAAAGTGGCTCAACATGCCAGTATTAGGCGATGTTAGTAAGTTTTGTCAGTACTGTCAACAATAATGATGCATTGGTAGACATGAAGGGTGAACATCAACACAGGACTAGAGATCCAAACAACACATTCAACACCACAATAAACGCACCTCTCTGCGATCGCCTTAATATGCCTCGCCGTTTTGGTGGTATCAAGCTTGATCTCTTTTCCATTGGCGGACAATACTTTCGTCAGCACTACGTCGTACATTACCACAGGTGTGTCCGAAAAGGTGCAGTCCCAACAATTCACTTCAACAACTGTTCGTTTGCCAATCGTTCCCACATCGCGACGAGATGGAAGTATTTCACCTCTCCTAAATGTCAATTACTTTATCAGCAGACGCACCGCTTGTAGACGAACAATCACAAGAAACAAATCATAGGATGCGTTATAAACTTACAATAATGTAGGCAAATTCTCACACTCTCTAAAACAACAACGAAGACAGCCAAGTCAAAATCAAACTAATCAACGCTACACCAAATTACTAGATAGGCAACACTGAATGTGGCCTTTGGTTTCTTCACACGGCCTCACCTTGACTCGGCACCTGTAGTCGACTCGGCACTACCGACTTGCGAAGTTGCCTTTGTTTCCGCCTTCTTCCCCTTCCTCCTCTTCTTCCCCTCCTTCTTTGGCAAAGCTGCTGCCTCCGGGTGAGTAGGGATGGAGGCACTACAGAAAAATACCCAAACCTTGCTCAACCCTCAATACTCCTCCAAAGCAACCAGTTCACGCTCTTACCTCAGCTCATCGCCTACTTCCACTGTGGCACTGCTTACTGGCAATGGTGTGACAATTCTTTCTCCCCCACTACGTGACACTGCAGTCGACCTGGCAAATGAGAACAGCTTTGTTTGAAGTCAACATTGCAACCGCAGTAAATAAGGAGATTCAAAAACTGTTTAGTTAATAAAGTATGGGAAAATATTTAGAGGTAAGATGGCAAAATCTCCCTAATATTAGGCAGCTGAAGCACCAGTAAGCCGTTCTCACCTCTCCTAAGCTTAGACTGCACAAAGAATCTGACCACCAAACGGTAACCTCGCGCGATGTTTTATAAGCAATAAAATAAAATTCATCCACATCGGATGAAGAGAACGTACCAATGGGGAGATGTGTCAGGACTCAATTCGGAAACCCTTCTGTCATCCTGCGGAACAGTAGCACCTCGACCTCTACGAGGTCTGAAGTCACCCCTGCCCCGCCAACCACGATATTGGTTGCCTCTAGAGCCAGCAGCTCTTATTCGGAAGCTGCCTCTACCTCGTTGAGGTCGTTTCCACGCGTCATTTTCACTCGTTCCACTCCATCTTGGAGGCACAAGGAAACAGTGATGCCACTACCACAACCCTCCTCTAGACGCCGACAGTAATAATGCTTAAGCTAAGCCACTCACACACCTATCCCACACAACACAACAGCTTTTACTGTGAGCCGCGAAGACCTAACATGTCTATGGAGTTGACCAAACATACAAACACCAAATCATGCACCTGAGACGGGCCACAATCGTAGCATCAAATGTGCGTCTCAGTGCCACTTTCCAACCTCAAATTATACAAACCAATTAGGGTACAGAGACAAATTAAACAAAAAAAAAAAACCAAAAATGCACGAAGTCCGAGGCACCTACATAATCGACACAAAAAACGCAAACAACCCAGATCAACACATAATTCCACCCATAATAACAATAATCAAGCTAATAACTTACTCATTGTTCATCGCCATGTTCGCTTGCGTTCAACTAGAAAGCAGTAATGCAGCTCAAGTGACCCACCCAACAGCCTACAACGATGAGGCACACACACACACAAAAGTAAATGTAAACTACAAGGTAAGCAATTTACTGCAACAACCGCTTCACAACCACAATCTTGAATGTTACACTAACAAGAATTTCACTTAACACCCACCATTCATCAAAAACCAAAAACACCGCGATACACTTTGCATTACCTTAAATACACGCGAAAATTCACACATGAACGCACGCACGCACGCACGCACGCACGCACGCACGCACGCACGGAGAGGCGCGAAGAGTCGCTGTTCCTGAAACCAATCCAGTAGCGTGCACGCATGCGTCGGTGTGTGCGATCGAATTGGAAGAGAGGAGGAGGCAGAGCGCCGCCACTTGTAGATATTTACCACGCCGCATCCTGCCTCACCTTCACAGATGTACGCGAAACTCACATTCGGCCTCCCAATTCGCATGTACTATACGCGAATTCATCTTCATTTGAGCCAATCTTAGCCATCCGTATCCGCCCGCAACGATGCCACAAGTCTACTTTCGTCCACCTCGTCTCTATGTCCTAGCGCAAGCCATACAAGATGCTCAAATTACATGAGGTTTGGGTTGGAAATTCGGTTTTGAACTGCAACAACGGCGACAGGAGTGGTGAGTGGGAGCATAGTGGCTGTTCAAGTACTGATGGTGCATTGGTTGGGGGCTATTATCGTACGAGAGGACACACAGGCTGGCACACCTGTGAAGCAGGAGGAGGTGGAGGGGTTGGGTAAAGTTAGGTGGGTTGTTTCATCCTCGCCTTCACTCACTGCCGCCACTTGTAGATATTTGGAAAGCACAATAACGATCGCCTTCCCACGAGGGTCATTCTCTACCGAGACGGTGTTTCCGAGGGACAATTCGATTCTGTGCTGCAAATTGAACTCTCGGCTATGCAGAGAGCTTGTTCAAACCTTAGACCCGACTACGAACCGCGAATAACATTTATTGTGGTGCAAAAGCGTCACCACATACGATTGAATCCAGTGGAAGAGGGGTGAGGTGCTTCTGCTTTGCGTGCATGTAAAGTGAGGGTTGCATAAAGTGGATGGATGGGTGGGTGGGGGTAGTTTTGAGGCTGTAATGCCTATCCTTAAGGCCTCATGTGTCTTTGTTTAGGAGGAATGTTTCACCGGGCACAGTGGTTGACACAGAAATCACACATCATCGTGAATTTGATTTCTACCTCTGTTCGCAGGAGGGCATTCAGGTGAGCATTGTGTCGCCACTTGTTGAGGCTTGCAGACTCGTCAGCGGTGGTGGTGGTGGTGGTAATTGTGTTGGCGTTTGCATTGCAGGGCACTTCAAAGCCTGCGCACTACCACG